AGCTGTGTCTGACTCTAGGGGACAGTGCTTATCTCATTTCTTAGCTGAGGGAGCCAGCCAATCTCTGAAGATGTTTCCATAGTCATATGGCCAGCATGACATCATGCTGTAATGCAGAGCGTTTGGTGAAACACGGAACGCTGTTACCTTACCACCAAAGTGGTACCTATTTATCTGCTTACATTTTCATGCTTTCAAATTAATAGTTGGTCTGGAGCTGGGGCAAGAATGGGAGCTCGCCATAGATGTCCTCTATTTCAAAGTCGTGTTCCAGGTTTAACAAATTTGAAACAAGATGAATGTAGGTGACCTTTGGTAAACACATCACTTAATTCAACATGTTCACTTCTTCTCCACCTCCCACCCTGTCATTAGCCTCCTTAAAGATAGAAAAAGAACAGGGATTATCACAAGCAGCTGAGAAAGACTGAAGGGTCAAAGTATACTCCCCACTGTCAGAATAGAGTCCGCAAAGGGTGTAAAATATATTATGGTTACTATTACAACCACTCCTATTAGCCCACACACAGAGAGAGCTAAGGAAAACAAACTATGAAAGAAGGGGCATGAACAAGTTAATTCAAGGCACTTTTCAGGAGAAAAAATGAAGCAAGAGCAAAAAGACACTTTTTTATAACAAATATGTAAATGAAGAAAACTGAAGCAACAATCAAAATATAAAGAACAGGCAAAGAAAGAAGTAGCTTTTCCTAAAGATGAGTTCTGAAAGAAATAGAGATAACATGAATTGGATAAATCTGTACATGGAATTAGGGAAGGTTTGGTGAATCTTACCTTTAAGACATGAAAAGGGCATAACCCCCCTCCCAATGCAACAATTATTCCTCCTAAGATGAAGAAAGAGGAGTACCTCTTTTATCCTTTGATGAGGAAAATTTGGATAAGAAATGTAATGATGGTCAGAATTTCATCACAGCAAGAAAAGCTTTTTTTAAAACTCATATTTCTGGGACTGGTTTCTTCCTATTTCAAATATTAGGACTGCCAAAATGGCACCCTACAAAACCTTTTAACCAGTACCACAGAGAAGATGCAAATGAAGGAAGAGTCTGCTTCCCAGAGAGACACGTTCAAGAAAAGAGTGAAATTTTCCCATTTCCATTCATGAATCCACTTGTTCCTGCACATCCTAATCAACTTCACAGAGCTAAAGTCAGGATAAGATGGAAACAACAGCCATCACTTCCACTACTTTAAAATATGCTGAATAATGATTTTAACATTTGATGACATAAAACAATTGTCCTCTCTTGTGAAATTGGGAAACAAAAGAATACTCTGGGGTATAAAGAAATGGAAAACAGAAAGTGCTTTCTACACTTTTTTTTTCCTTTTAAAGGGAAATCTCCAACTCAGTGCAATTACTGTATAGGAAATCTATACAGATTTAAGTTATTAAAATATATTATTATAAAATAATATCATATGATATATTAATATAATTTATTATTTTATAATTATAAAGATGCAGTATCAAGCTGCATAGAGGCCATGCCCTCTGACTTGATAAAGAGTTTTCTTCCAAGAAAAACCATTTTTACCTATTTTTGCACACAGTTATATTGGCATAAATCATATATACATACATACATGCATGCATGCTATCATCGTAAGAAATCCAAACTTCACTTTGCTACAAAGGCATATTTATTTAGCCATTACATCATTAGCAATACCAACTACCATATGCACGTTTTACTGATATAATGCACAGGGTACAATATGATATGGCATGTGATGGCCCATTTCAGCCACAGGACTGCAAGAAAGGAGGCAAGCAGAATCACATTAGTTTTTACTGAATGAGAATTAAGATCACAATGATTTTTGAGAGGTTGTCAGCTAAGTAGCCAATTTGAATCTCATCTCTGAAGGAATAGAAAATTAAGATGGGTTTAGTACCCAGGTACTTAAAATTCCCCCTACCCCACTAGCATCCAATTTGTATATTAAGACAGCGGGCTCATGAGCTGATCTGATCATGATCCTATTATGGGTTAGGGTTAGAAGAAGGGCCACAGTGATAACACTCCAATTCTGTTGAAGACCTACATAAATCTAAGTTTACACTCACAAAAAAAAAACCCTCCATATAGGCAGAGTATGCCACATATATAAATTGTACTTTTGTTTTCAATAACATGCAAAACATTTAGAAAGGGGGAGGGGGGGAAACGAAAATACTGTAAGAAAGGGGAGAAACTGTTCCCTCCCACCAAAAGTCTGTCAGAACTTGGATGAGGTGGTTCATCCATATTTGGACCTCCTTCTGGCATGACGGTACAGAATTCCTCTAACATGTATTTTTGGGGGGTTTCTCTGAATTTCCACCTCTCTCTCTTCATTTATATTTAGATTGGATGAGGAGTCCTAGTTGTTTTTTTAAACCAAAGCAACTTTGCAAATATCAAATACACGCTATTGTGGGATGAGAAACCTGCAGCCTTCAGGCTGATTTCACAAAATCCTTGACCTACCCATCTGCAAAATTTCAGACCCTTGATATAAGTATCCCCTTGCAGCCTGCTGCTTGGAAAAAAAACATAGGGGAACTTCAGACTAAGGGGGGGGGGAGACAGAATTTCAGGAAAATAATGAGTGTGGCTATCCATTTTTATCACTATTCCTACTCACTGTTTTATGTCCATCATCTGGTCCCCAAAAGATTTGTGAGATAAAATAGCCCTCCCCACAAAAAGCTGCTATCCCAGTCTGGGATGATATTAACCAGCATCATAATCAATGAATAAAAATAAAGTCTGATGCCCTAATCCCAGATTTATCTCATTAGTGTTCCAGTAACTGCAAATGTCTGAATAAAATGAACCTCCAAAAAACTGTATTTAAGAATTTCTCCAGCCTTCCTCAACCTGGTCTCTCTCGGGCTGGGTTGGAATACAATCCCCATCAGGCACAGCCAGCAGGGCAAGAGTGCAACCAGTCAACACAAAGACCTTGTTGGCTGGAGTGCTGTAACAATATTGTTCCAGGAGTTGTCCCATTCAGACTGGAAAGGGCTGCTTCATTCATCTGTCATATTTGCTACAGAAATGTTCCTTTGCTGGTTTAGATTTAGATGCTGCTTTTTTCTCCTGCACTGAAAACAGATTTAGATCTCACTTTTTTTCTCCTGCAGCTGGAAATGGATTTAGATCCCGCTTTTCCCTCCACTCCAGCAGCTGAAAAGGACATCCTCTCAGCACCCACTTCCTCCCGTTTTCCACCCTTTCTCCTCCCGGGGCTAAAAGAAGAGGGTGCCGGGCTCAAAATCCCCTCGGGCACTGCCACGGCGAGAGTCGGGACAGCCTCCAAAAAAAGCCTGGCCTCTCTGCCCGATCCCCCATCTTCCTCCCACCGCCAGGCAAACTCCTCCGGCGGCGGCGGCGGCGCTTGGAGGGGGAAAAGAGCCTTGGCTGCTACTTGCGACCTCCTCCGTCTTAAAAAGCCCCTTCGCTCCAGAGGCTCGGCCTCTTCTCCAAGATGTCTCCGGACTACAATTCCCAGCCTGCACAATCTGGAGAAGGCGGTGGTAGGAGGGGGAGGGGGGGAGGAAGGCAGACGCGCTCCCTCTCTCGCCTTTCCCCGGGAAAGTTTTCCAAAGCCACTATTGGCGGGGAGGGGGGGAGGTGTGTGTTTGTGTGTGTGTGTGTATGTGTATCTGCGTGTGGTAAGTTTATGTATGTGTATGTGTGAGAGAGAGTTCCCGGAGACCCCCACCCTCCCTCCCTCCCACCCGCTTCTCCCCCTCACCTGGCGGGAGTGGGCCTTGGGCTCCGGAGGCTTGAAGAAGGAGTCCGGCAGTTTGCGGAGCCGCATCGGGAGCGTGTGGGGGACGTTGGCGCCCTTGGGGTTCATGACGGCGTTGAAGAGGGCCTCCAAGTCCGTCTCCGAATCGCCCCGGACGTGGACGACTTGATGGCCGGCCGGGGGAGGCCCCGATACGGCTCCCCCGCCGGGCTGAGGCGCCGGCGGCGAGGCTTGCCCCGTAGGCTGCCCCTGCGACGGCTGGGGCTGCGCCGCCGACGGCGCCTGTTGGGGCTGCCCGCCGACGTCCATGGCCGTCTTGTCTCCCTCTCCGGCGGTCTCGCTCGCTCGCTCGGCTTAAGCAACAGCGCCGGGCTGGCCGCCCCGCATGCCCAGGCGCCGGGGTCGTTCGCTCCCTCGCCCGTCTCCCGCGGGAGGGGGGCTCCGGGGGCCCGACACGCGGGAGGGGGGCACTCGGGACCTCCCGCGCTCTCGCACCGCCGAACGCGGAGCCAGGGGCATAAAAATCCGCCTCTTTCGCGCACCAACCCCTTCCAAACAAAAGTTCGGAAAGACGCCCGCCCGAGCCTGCTCCGCCCAGCGCGCGCCCGCCCGCCCCGACTCCCGACAAGCAGCTTTTAATTCCAACTCAGTCGGGTTTAGGGAGCCCGACGCGGACGCCACCTCTTCTTTTTTTTCCCGCGCCCGGCCGCGCTAAAATTGAACGGCGCCGAACTTTTGTCCCCCCCCACCCACCCCTCCCGAGCTTCTTTTCCACGCTGTAGTGATTTTTTTTTATTTTTTTCCCCTCCCACTTCCTTCCATTCCTAACTGGTGCGGCTGCTTCTTCGACGCTTCCAGATTAACTTGTTTTCTAAATTCCTGTGGAGCCGCCCGGGCAGGATTCACCGTCGCCGATGTGGACAGGAAACATGGGGTTTATAGTTTTGGCTCTCTTCCCTCCCTCCCTCTCCCCCCCCCCTTTCCCAAAAAGTTTTCCAACCCTCCCAAAGAGGGGAGGAGGAAGAGGAGGAGGGACAGTTGGGACTATTTTCTCTTCCTCCCCCACACTGGAAGAAAAGGGGAAATAGCAACTAGACCCCGACCCATCAGGCTTCGAAGGGGGAAAGAGAAGCACTTTTCCTTTGTCACCCCCCCCCCAATACACACACACAAATGCACACCCTGTGCCACCACTCCCACTTGCTGTTGTCCAGATTTCTGCGCTTGGAATTCTCACCACTGCACAAGGGCAGTGCTGGGAGTTGTAGTCCAACGGGCTGGATGCAAGTCCTGACCAGCGCAAAACTCTTTGATTGTAAACCTGAAATTAGCTATGCCTGCCGCCCAGGCAAAATCACCGCGCAGGACTCGTTTTGCAGGAGATAAATAAATGCTCGTCGGGGGAAAAAAAACACGGGTACAAAACACGCAGGTGTAAATAAAAGTACAAGTAACTGACGTAAAGTTTAAAAAAAACAAAAAAACCCACCACATCTGAATGTGGTAGAGATGGCACTGAGCTTGTATGACTGTTATTGTTTTAGATGTGATTATTTCAGCTTTTCATGAGTTTTTTTAATGCTTTTTTTCTTCTTTCTGACATTATATTGTTCTTTTGGGTTTTAATATTTTTCATTGTTAGCCTTGCAGTGTGTGTGTGTGTGTGTGTGTGTGTGTGTGTGTGTGTGTGTGTGTGTAAAGGGCAACTGTATAAATGTGGTAAATAGATCCCCAAGTTGATCCCGATTCAGACACACTGTTTAATGGAAGATGGATTGTTTATATTAAAATAAAATAAAAACGTTTTTTAAAAAGTTGATCCCGATTCCTGGTGATTAAAATGGACATAACCTTACCAATTTTTGCCAACAGTACACAAATTATAAAGACACTTGCTCAAAAAAAAGTGTATTATACCAGACAACACATAATTAGGATGCACATCACTAACCACTTAAGATTTATGACTGTTTTTTAAATAAAAAGGTGCATAAATACAAGAACAAATTAAGAGACAAACTTCTTGTCCCCTCCTCTAATCCTGTCAACCACTCCAGAATGTTATCTTCCAGTGTCTTTATCTCTCTAAAACCTATTCTTGGATTTAATCGTTGAAATCATGATTGCACGTGATTGATGATTCTACTTCTATTTAAAGCTACTATAGACATATAGTGAATATGGATTCACTTCCCTACATGTTTTCTAAAAAAATTCATTTTAATTAAAATTAAACTTTGTAAGACTGAATTTGAAATAAAATGTATAAAAATGAACATCATGTTCCTAACATGTATACACTTGTACTGATATTTGAGACAAAAGAACATTTACTTGATGTTTAATATTTTAATCCTTAACGACAACTGTGATTTTATGATTGTTTTTTTTATATATATTTGATGTTTGGACATATAAATTTGATAAATAAATAAAAAGTGAAAGAATTGTGGGGGGTTGTCCTTGATTTGCAACTGCTTACTTAGGAATCAAAGTTACAACCAACCTGAAAAACAGGACTTACGACACAGATTCAAAAAGCCAACAGTCCCCCTTCCAAACTTCAGCTGCATTTATAGCCCTTTGCAGGGTTCACCAGTCACATGACCATGCTTTGTTCCAGTTTTGTCAAAACTCTGCACTTTCAGTTTTTGCTTTGCTTAACAACCACATCATTCGCTTAACAACAGTGAATTCACTTATCAACTACTGTGATTTCCTCAACAACTACTGCAAAAAAAAACATAAAATCAGACAGCCATGCGCAATTCCAGGAGGAAAGATGACAAATGCACCTCTAGGCCTGCACAAAAAATCACGTGGGCTACTGCATTTGAACCAACTGAAGTTTTTGAATACTTTGAAAGGGCAGCCCCTTGAAGGTGTTTGCAATAATATTGTTAAGCAGTGATCATTTTCTCATTAGTAATCTAAATGTTGAGTAAATTTGTTCATAGAAGTCTTCTGTAAGAATTACAAATGTATATTCTCTTTGAACCGAATCATCTCAAAACAAAGGATTTATTCCGCACATCTGCTCCACATGCCGTATTTCAGACATTTTCGTATCTCTTTCAGTTTATTAGGAAAAATACAGACGCTGGGAGAGTTTTTCTCTATCAACAGCCTATATTTCCATCCTAGAAAATTTGGTCAGGTTCTTTAACTTTTAAGAGAGCTGTTAATATTGCTATTCCACTTCTAACTATTTTTCTTCTTTTAATTTTGATGTTTGTTATCTTCTAAACTTTGTCAATTGTTTTAAAGTTTTAAATTATAACTCACCTAGCCATCCTTCCAGGATCAAAAAAATATCCAGAAATAACATAAAATTATATAATGAGGACATACTATATATTCACATAATTGCTTTGTCACTTTGTCAGAATGAAATAAGGTTGGTTTGGTATGATCTGTTTTTAACAAACCCATCCTGGCTACTAGTTATAACTTATTTATTTCTACATTTTCACAGATCTGGTCTGTCCGTCCCCCCCAGTATCATCCCAGATATTGATGTTAGGCTGATTGGTCTGTAGTTTTCTGGGTTTATTTCCCCCCCCCCTTTTTTGAAGATGGGAACCACATCAGCTCCTTTCCAATCCTCTGGTAGTTCCCTAGTGCTCCAAGATTTTTTTAAAGATGTGATACAATAGATCTGAGATAACATCTGCCAGCTCCTTCAGAACTCTGGGATGTAATCCGTTAGGCCAGGTGATATATATTCATTGAGGTCTGACAAGTGTTCTCTTACCATTTTCTTATTTTAATTTTTATTTCTACTCTGTCTTTTACAGGTGTGTTTCTGGTAGGTTTTCTGCTCAATGATTTATTATTTTTGTAAGTACAATACATTTTAAAAATAAAGTCTAAGGACAGGATGTAAGTTAATTTAGCAATAGCCCATTTCAAATACTATATGCAGGCATCGGTAACATTAATTTAACAACATTCCAACAAAATCAATTACATTCAGTTTGCAAGTAATTTCTAATGCTCTAACAATAGTGGAATTCCAACAATCAATACTTAATTCCTCTATCAGAATTAATTGAATAACACAAGCAGTCACTCACAGAATGAAGGTACTCCAAAAACATGGTACAAAACATAGATATGACGATTCAAAGGGTTCACAATCAAATAGGCAAAATTTTGTTCATGGCTGTTGGATGCGGGATAACAAAGGCCATCAGCATCCTAAAGGACGAAATATTTATTGTTAATATAACGCAGCGAATATATTAAGATGGCAAAATAATAACTTTCTAATTCTAATTCTGAAATAATCACTTAAATTTCACGATGAAATGGGGGACAAATATACGTACCCAGTTGTATTAGGAAAATGAAAATTCATGTTTTCAATATGAACATTGTAATAAAGAAAACCTAATGGTGTGATCTTCCTTTAACACTTTCCGAGTGTTTTACCAGTATGTTTAAAATACTTGGCAAAGTATTTTTAAACAAAAAAATCCTCTAAAAATGTAAATCAATAGTAAAGCAACATTCCTTTTCATTACATTTATTCTTTGCTTTAAGTTCAGAGGAACTGCAAACCCATTTCTGTGAAGTTAATCTAAGACAAGTGCCAGTTTGGTAGAATTGTTAAGGCATCAGGTTAGAATCATGATTTCTGGTCCCACCCTAGGTAAAAAATACCCGCTGAGTTACTTAGGCTAGTCAGTTTCTTTCAGCCTTCAAAAAGAGGCAATGGCAAACCATTTCTGAAATCTTGTTAAGAAAAATGCAGGGACTTGTCCATGGAGTTGCCACAGCCAACTCACTACTGCTAACTCGCCATTCCCTGCCACCATCATCTTGCCACAGGACAACCAGCTGCGGGACGAGAGTTATACTAATATCGAAGAAATGGTGGAATAGAATTATTAAAGGAAGGATGCAAAAGGAGAGACAGGATTAAATGTGAATGGCAAACATTAAAATAATTTTTATTTAGTTTAAATAATTAAATAGAATTGTTAATTGTTCTGCAGTGAGTTGGCCATGATGAATTGGCCATGAGAAGTTGGCTGTTGGCGAGTTGACCCTGATGAATTGGCTGCAGCACGTTGGCTGTGGCAAGTTGTCCCATTCCCTGCCAGAAGTTATGTAGGAAACATAAACCAGACTTTATAGTAGTACAGGAGGACCAGAAGACATAGATGATGATAGACGTAGCAGTTCCAAGTAAAGCAACATCAGGAAGAAGGAGAAGGAGAAGCTGGAAAAGTATCAGGGCCTGAAGGAGACAATAGAGATGATGTGGAAAGTAAAGGCCAAAAGTTGTGATAGGAGCACTTGGGACTATGATTCCTAAGCTGGGAGAATGACTCCAACGGACTCCTGGAACAGTACCCCAAGCTCAACTACATTCAATTCTACTATCTATCAGACACAACATTTTCCATGAGTTAGAACTCTTATCTACCTAAAAGTGTATTATGGTCAATTAAAGATCCCAAAACTTGTTTAAAAACTCAGTCAAAATTATCGGATCAACCACAAATATAAAAAGAAAAAAATATAAATGTAAAAGGTTTGGCTCCTCTTTAGAAGATTTAAAGATAAAGGTAAAGGTTCCCCTCATACATATGTGCTAGTCCTTCCTGACTCTAGGGCAGAGATGCCGAACCTGTTTTGGCTTGCATGCCATAAGTGGGGGGAGCACAGGGGGGTCGTGTGCAGGCAGGCCACACCCATAATGCAATGCACAACAGCCCCCCCAGTGTACATGCGTGCATTACAGGTGTGATCCCCTCCATTTTTTGCATTTTTTTTCACCCTCCCCAGGTTCCAGAGGCTTTATAGGAGCCTGGGGAGGAAGAAAACATCCTCCCCACCCCGCTGGAAGCCCTTTGGAGGCTTCAGGAGCTTCCCTGAAACCTCCAGAGCGCAAAAAATCCAGCCCTACGGGCAAACCGGAAGTTCAGCAACGGACTTCCAGTTTGCTCGTAGGGCCAGTTAAAGCCCTCCGGAGCTTCCAGGGACCTTCAGGAGGATTCCCTGAAGGCTCCGGAGGACTAAAAACAACCCAATGAGCAAACTGGAGACTGGTTTGCTCGTAGGGCTATTTTTCATCCTCCGGAGCCCTCAGGGAAGCCTCCTGAAGGTCCCTGAAGGCTCCAGAGGGCTTAAACTGGCCCTACGAACAAACTGGAAGTCCATTCCCAAACTTCTGCTTTGTCCGTAGGGCAGGTTTTTGCGCTTCGAAGGCTTCAGGGAAGCTGTTTTCCCCCTCCCCAGGCTCCTATAAAGCCTCGAGTCTCTGGTGCCAAAAAGGTTGAGAGCCAGAACTGTAAGTACTTACATCACTATACAATCAAAATATCAGTGTAGAAAAAGTTTTGTCACCTTTTCTATTACAAACTGTTTTATGATCCTTTTATGTCATAAAATATTTAATAAAGTTTGCCAAATTTCAATTCAATAGGAGTCATGGGTTCAAGATTTTGGACACATTCTGTAAGTTAGCCCATTTGAGGCACCTTGGTCCAAAAGTGTTGTCCCTATGGTGCCCAGTTAAAGATTATGGGAATGAAAGTTTTAATAGTATATAGATGAATGAATTGGTACTCTCCTGAAAATGGGAGTTATGGTTTTGTTGCTATTACTAAACTATTAAGACACTACATTACCTCTTTCACTAGTTCTTAAGTACATTTATTTTAATGCCAGAAAGTGGGAGTTCATTTTTTATGTGGAAGACGCTTTGCAAATTTTTTAGCTAATACTAATACTTATAATATTAAACATGTTTAGTGCAGTGGTGGGATTCAAAATGTTTTACTACCGGTTCTGTGGGTGTGGCATGGTTTGGTGGGCATTGCATGGAAGGTGTGGCAGGGGAAGGATACTGTAAAATCCACATTCCCTCCCCACTCCAGAGGAAGGTTACTGCAAAATCCCCATTTCCTCCTAATCAGCTGGGACTTGGGAGGCAGAGAATAGATAGTGGGGGGAGGGCAGTCAGAAGTGGTATTCACCGGTTCTCCGAACTACTCAAAATGTCTGCTACTGGTTCTTCAGAATTGATCAGAACCTGCTGAATACCACCTATGGTTTAGTGCCTTTCTTTTTGAGGGGGGTGGGGGTTAGCAAAGTTGTTGATTTAGTGCTTTCAAAGTGAAAACTGAGCATCACTTTTGTATGTGAACGAGATGGGCAGTTTTAAAATGTGACAAACGTTTACTACTTTATAAGCCCCACTAATTTCAATTCAAGAGACAACTTGGGGCAGTGGTTAAGGCAGCAGGCAGTGGGACCATTAGTTCTAATAGTCCCACCTTAGTCATGAAGCCAGTTGGGTGACCTTGGGTCGGTCTTTTTCTTTCAGTTCTAGGAATAAGGAGGCAGGGACGTTTCTGAAAAGCCTTGCCATGAAAACTGCAGAGACTTATTAAGGCAATTGCCAGGTGTCAAAAAGTGACTCAAAGGCACACAAAACAAAAGCAAACTTCAGTTAGACTTATTTTCTAATCCTGAAATTGGCAACACTGCATGCATGTGCATCACATTGCATAGACCTATGCATGCAGGTAAAACAGATCTCCAGAGGCTTATTTTTGTCTGGTGGAGGGAAGAAGAGGATATGGCAGAGAATGTGGTCCCCCTCCCACCTCCACCCCTGGATCTGGGATTATGTTTGTGTTGGATGAGAGAATTTTCTCTGTGTGGTCCCTGTGCAGGGATTGAGTTGCAAATTAAATAGGAAAATAACTTGGCCTGAAAGATTTAAAACTGCATATCACAATAAGTGTTTCTTACAAAGGCATCAAAACCCCATTAAGAAAACATCAACTCGCTCTTTTGGGAAAGCAAACTCTGTAATCTGGATGATCTCTCTCCTTTTCCTCTGAAATATGATACAGTCAGTTCACAAATTTAACTATTAACTTATATTTTAAAGGCTGCGCTGTGAGCTTCATAAATGAAGAATAAAATATTCCTAGCAGACTCCTTCAGACACACAGATACAGTGCTTGTTATAAATATCCATCAATTCATCCATCTATCCATCTGTAGTTCTATGCTAACTTATAAGTGTTTCAGTCAACTAATTTCATTTACAAATTTCTCACGACTGCATGAAATGTGTTACCGATAAACTTTGGTCCCTAAATCTGTAAACAAGTATGCTGGCATCAATTGTATTGTCCTGACTGCTGAGTCTTAAAGTTTGCCTTCATAATGCTACTGTCCTTAATGCATGGGAAAGGTTGGTTGGGAAATTCCCAATTCCCAATTTCCCCACTCATCAAGATCATGTTCATATAGGAAAAGTAATCAACAAGTCACAATTTGTAATTATGAAGTGGAACTGAAGAAGGTGGTCTATTTTGACAGAGGGACACACCGCTTGGTTTAGCCATCTGTCAAAACATGATCCCAACACGACTGATCTGTGGAATAGGTGGTGGCTGCTTGATAAAAAGAAGATGCTCTCCTGCTTCACTGGGCAATTGTCATTTTCTGCTTAAATCAGTTCTCCCCCACTGATCAGATTGCAGGGAATAGAAAGGTGTTACATTGCTTAAGCGCTGTTTATGAGCATCCCAAAGTCCACTAAGTGAATGTTAATTGCCACTGTTAATATTGTACTGCAAACTAGGGCGTACAAAACCTTTGCTAGACCAATTCTCGAATACAGCTCGTCTGTTTGGAATCTGCACTGTATATCAGACATTAACACAATTGAGCGAGTTCAGAGGTATTTCACGAGAAGAGTACTCCACTCCTCTGCTCGCAACAGAATACCTTATGTCACCAGGCTTGAAATTTTGGGCTTGGACAACCTAGAACTACGCTGCCTACGGTCTGACCTAAGCGTAGCACACAAAATTATCTGCTACAATGTCCTACTTGTCAATGACTACTTCAGCTTCAACCGCAATAATAAAAGAGCGTAGAATAGATACAAACTCAAGGTAAACTGCTCCAAACTCGATTGCAGATAATATGACTTCAGCAACAGAGTGGTGAATGCCTTGAAGCACTACCTGACTCTGTTGTTACATCCCCAAATCCCCGAAACTTTAACCTTAAACTGTCTATTGTTCACCTCACTCCATTCCTAAGAGGTCCATAAAGAAGGCATACAATAGTGCACCAGCATGCCTAACATCCCTGTCCTACTCTCCCCATTTATTTGTACCCATTTCCTGTGTTCTTATTCCTGTTTATTCTTATTCCTGTTATCTTGTACATGAGCGACAAACTAAATAATAAATAAATAAATAAATAAATAAATATTGGCTTAGAACTGGTCTATTATGGGATACCTTCCTTTATTTTAGAATAGACGGCAAGCAGCTTGAATCTTAAGATAAATTATCATCATTAAAGACCTCAAAGAGTCATGTGTGAATACGTTTTGAATTCATAAAACTTCATCTTTTTCTATGTTTCCGTTTCATATCCTGCCTATCAAGTGAGTTTTTCTAAACTAAGCATTCTTTTTTATTTCTTTGTAAATACATCTATCTCTACAGTTCAAAAACAGAAAAAAATCACAATGATGATGGGAATGCAATCATGTCAGGATACGTGCTCAGATGGCTTAACTTTTGCAATGACCATTCTCCATCAGTTGAAGTATCTTTCATCACTCAAATGGAGTTTTTAAGTTGGCTGAAAGGCACAGGGTAGCTGTGAGATGAAACGGGAAAGAACTTTCCCGCAACAACATATAATCACCCCCCAATCTCAGGTACATTGTTAATGAAGCATCCTGTATTATATTCATTGTAAACACTGAGAAGAGAGAAAATAGTACTTAACAGCTTGAGACAATTTTAAACTGTCTACACAGCAGACTGGGAATGAGCCAAAAGCAGTATCAAAAAACATGTCATTTAAGAATGATTAGTAAGACATGTTTGTGCTGCAGTTATTGCAACATGAGGATGAACCCTGACTCAACACAAATCAGAATATTTGCCTCACACAAAAACGTTCTGCATAAATTACAGAAATTTTCCAAATGAAACTTGACAGAATTTGTAATCCGGTATCACAGTTAACTCTCTAATTGGTAAAATGGGAATAGTTTTCATTTCATATATTAAAATAGCTTAAGAACTGCAAGATGTTTCAATATTTAAATCATAAGCAGAGCATAATTCTTATATCTGTTCCATATCAATCCAGAAATCTACTTTGTATCATTAACTAAAGAAAAATATAAAAGTATATCATCATAATGTCTTGGTAAGGCTACACTTGGAATACTGCATTCAGTTTTGGCCGCCATGATGTAAAAAAGATGTTGAGACTCTATAAAGAGTGCAGAGAAGAGCAACAAAGATGATTAGGGGACTGGAGGCTAAAACATGTCAAGAACAGTTGCAGGAAATGGATATGGCTAGTTTAATGAAAAGAAGGACTAGGGGAGACATGATAACAGTGTTCCAATATCTTAGGGGCTGCCACAAAGAAGAGGGGGTCAGCCTATTTTCCAAAGCACCTGAGGGTAGGACAAGAAGCAATGGGTAGAAACTAATCAAGGAGAGAAGCAACTTAGAACTGAGGAGAAATTTCCTGACAGTTAGAAAAATTAATCAGTGGAACAACTTGGCTCCAGAAGCTGTGAATGCTCCAACACTGGAAGTTTTTAAGAAGATGTTGGATAGTCATTTGTCTGAAGTGGTGTAGGGTTTCCTGCCTAATCAGGGGGTTGGACTAGAAGACCTCCAAGGTCCCTCCCAACTCTGTTATTGTATTCTATGTAATATCCAAAAATTAAATGCATAATACAATTTATTTTTAAGTGATACCATTTTCATCATTCTATGTTAAAATTGAACAGCCCTCTCTCAACAGAGGGGAGGGATATGACACTAACTATCTCCTGTTTACAACACAGTCCTTTCAGCCATCCCAACAAGTTCCACACCCATTTGCCCTCTGATTCAGGTGACTTTGGGGATACAGGTAAACTTCAAAGTTGTCTCAATGACTCTCAGAAAGATAACAACCAGACAGCTGCAAAGAATATAACTCCTCCCATTCTCACCAGTCAATTAGAACTGAAGAAGCTTTCAGTTTTCTTTTGGAAAAGCATCTTTGGGACAACTATGACTGGAAGATTGAGAACCTCCATAGATGTGAATAAATGTGTGTGGCTGTGTTTGGGTGTTGGTATATATTATACACCAATCTGCTAAATGTGTTACCAAAGATTGATTCAGTTTAAAAATAAACAATGATGCTTGTTTGGATTTAATCTTATTTCAAATTATATTGAAAAATGTTCTATATTTCATACTACTCTAACAAGATACTTACATATGCACAGACTTTAAAGACAGTAGATACTATGTTAATATCCTTGGTTTCAGGATCCTTTTGTACACTGAAATTCATAAAAAATACAAAACAGCTTTTAATAAAGTCAGCTAGGCTACTTAAAACTTACATTTTACACTTTGACATATTTATCCAAGGTCCAAAAAAATAAAACGAACTCTTAAGTTAAACTGATTCCTTACAAGATGATCAAATTAGATTTTCAGGAACAACAGCAGCAAACCTTTACCTTTACCTTTAATGGCAAGTGGAATCATTAAATACATTAGACAGAGGAAAGGGAAAAAGTCTCAAATGGTTAAGTAGGATACAATTAAAACTTATTTTACCTTTCACCAACCATGACAGAATATCTGCTATAGCCTTTCCTGCAGGATAGCATGTATTCATGTAAGGTTCCCCCTAATATATGTTGTGCATGACACTACTCATAAGCTTTATTTAGAAATGCCAGTTTGTTCAAAATTCAACAACTAAATGAACTAGGATGGGAGTGTAGCTAGCATCTTGTTGTTGTTCAGTCACTAAGTTGTGTATGACTCTTCGTGACCCTATAGCATGCCCCCCCCCCCCGAACTTAACTATCTGCTTGAGTCTGCCTAAATTCATCCCTTAGTGTGTTCATGACACTATCTAATCAAATCATCTTCTGCCATCTCCTTCTCCTTTTGCCTTCCCAACATCAGGGGTTTTTCCCCCCAATGAGTCCTCTCTTCCCATTTGGTGACCAAAGTATTTGAGCTTCAGTCAACAACAGGACCTTTTTCAATGAGCTCCGTCTTCTCATTTGGTGGCCAAAATATTTGAGCTTCAGCTTCAGTATCTTTCCTTCCAGTGGTGGGATTCAATTTTTTTTGCAACTGGTTCTGTGGGCATGGCTTGGTGGGCATGGCATGGCTTGGTGGGCGTGGCAGGGGAAGGATACTGTAAAATCTCCATTCCCTCCCCACTCCAGGGGAAGGTTACTGCAAAATCCCCATTTCCTTCCAATCAGCTGGGACTCAGGAGGTAGAGAATAAATGGGGGCGGGGCCACTCAGAGGTGGTATACAGCAGGTTCTGACCAGCCCTAGAGAACCGGTAGCAGAAATTTTGAGTAGTGCAGTGAACCGGTAAATACCACCTCTGACTGGCCACACCCCCATCTATTTTCTGCCTCCCAAGTCCCAGCTGATTGGGAGGAAATGGGGATGTTGCAGTAACCTTCCCTTCCAATGCTCAGCAAACCATGCCCGTCAAGCCACACCCACAAAACAGGTAGTAAAAAATTTTGAATACCACTACTGGGCAAAGCCAGTCAGAGGTGGTATTTACCAGTTCTCTGAAATACTCAAACTTTCCACTATCGGTTCTCCAGAGCTTGTCAGAACCTGCTGAATACCACTTCAGTGCCCTTCCAAATGACTGTCAGGGTTGACTTCCTGTAGGATTGACAGATTTGATCTTCTTGTAGTCCAAAGGATCCCTAGAATCTTCTCCAACAAGTTAGCCTTAAATCAATTGCAGTGAGTTGATTTAGGTACCTAACCTGGCACTAAAGTAGGTTACCGAACCTGGCATTGTCACCAAAACATTTGAGTACTTTTTCCACGGCAATGAGATTAGGACATTTTATATTGTTGTATCTTGACTTTGAATTTCTAAGGACACTTGCCTGGCGCAAATTCTGTAGGAAAACAATAGGAAAGCATTTTCTTCTGATAGACACTTTAAATGCTGAATTCTATATAGTACCAATTTACTTTTTTACCTTTTTTTGATACAATTGTTACATTTTTGTTTTATTTTAAATGTTGAGTTTTTACCTGAAGATCTGGGGGAACAGTTGAAAAATAAATGGGGAAATTGGTTACATATAAGGAACAAACCTCACTAGATCCTTATATAAAGATTTTGTGGTTTCTAAGTATGGACCGAGATCATCTTCATATTGACAGAAAGCTCCTCCAAGGCAAAGGTGTTTAAAGATGCAAAAAAGAAACTCTTCACGGTCTAAATGATTAAATAAATCATAGTGGTCTGAATCATCCAGAAGAAGTACCTTTGGTGAAACAAAAAATGAAAGGCATAGTCAGGTGGGAAATATTTTAATTACCTCAGATATACAAATATAAATTCACCTGGATTCCCACAATGTTTTCTATATACCCTGTTTCCCTGAAAATAAGACCTCCCCAGATAATAAGCCCAATTGGGCTTTTGAACGCATGCGCTAAAATAAGCCCTTCCCTGAAAATATTGCAACACAGCAGCAACCGTGAGGTGACCACACTTGCCGCCTCCTGCACTTCAAAAATAATAAGACCTCCCTGAAAATAAGGCCAAGTATTTATTTCGGGGGTCAAAACAAAATAAGATCCTGTCTTATTTTGGGGGGGCAAACAGAATAGTAGAGTTGTACATTGAGGAACTGGTAAATATCTTCCCGTCAACAGTGACCATGGAAAAATCAGAAATGAATTTTAGGAAAACTGGACCATATTCTGAATGAATATAATCTGAGGATAAACTATTCCTTTGTTGACCTGAATGATGAGTAGATATGGGAGACAACATAAAACAGATTGGGGCTTTTGAAGAACTAGAAAATGAGAATGGGGATGGATGAATAGCTGCTTAGAAAAAGATGTATTTCAACTATGTGGTTTAAGTTAAAACGTTTCATACTATACATGGCAAATGAATGAAAAAAATACACACACACACACAAACACACACACCAGGCACACACACACCAGGCACACACACAAACATGATATTTTTTTGTTTCTGTAATAAAATCTTCAATAATCAATGAAAGATATTAGGGTAATAGAAGGCCCTGAATATGAAACGAATTCTTGGTATGATCAACAGTATCATCTTAGGGGGAAATGGACTTAGAAGAAAGGAAATAAGTTAAAGTGAAAATAGAATTAGAGTAGAATGGAAATAATAAATCCAGCATGCAGTATAAGGACATGGATGGATGTGTTGGAATAAGATGAGAAAATTCAGAAAAAGTGATTGGGCCATTAAAGACTGAAAAAGAATGATAGCAGATGAAATGCAAAGTAGACATGGGAAAAGAATATATTAAGGTGCTTGATGAAAAGAACATTATAGGGTGTCATGGAAAAGTGCTAATGGGAAGTATATAAAATGCCTGAGAGAATAATAAACTGGGGGGAACATGGTAGATGGAGGAAAACATACATAAGAAAGTAGCTGCTACAAAAATGAGGATGAAAGAAATATATAGTGTATATGAAAAAGATATTTACAAAGCATCTGGCCAAAGAGAACAAGAAACAGATTAAAAGAAATAGAAATGATTCTTGATAGATGTTCAATCTTTCAAAGAGGCATGCAATTATGGCATTCTGTAAACTGCTTAGAGAGAGCACTATGAAGACTAGACGAGACGAGACTAGGACTAGACTACACTAGACGTGGAGTGGAGTGGAGTGGAGTACAGTAGAGTAGAGTTGAGTGTAGAGTAGAGTAGAGTAGAGTAGAGTAGAGTAGAGTAGAGTAGAGTAGAGTAGAGTAGAGTAGAGTAGAGTGAATAGAATAGAATAGGATAGTTCTTTATTGGCCAAGTGTGATTTGACACACAAGGAATTTGACTCTGGTGCATTAGCTCTTAGTATGTATACAATCAACAAAGTGATGTCATAAATTATAAGATACACACATAACATATAATCAACAAAGTGGTAGTCGTAAGTTACCAGTAGGAGCAAGGTAATAGGAAAGATGATAAAGGTAATAGTAATACAGTCCTGCTACATGGGTAAGTATCCTTAGAGATAAGACAGTGCTGTGGGAATTTGATGTTTAGCAGAGTGATGGCATGGAGTGGGGGACTCATCTTTATGTGTAGTTGTTTGGGCATGCAGTGCCCTATAGTGGTGTCCTGAGGGGAAAACTTGAAATAATTTATGTTCAGGATGTGATGGGTCTGTAGATATCTTATCAGCCCTTTTTCTGGCTTGTGCAATATACAGGCCCTCAATGGAAGGCAGACTGGTTGCATATTTTTTTTCTGCAATCCAAACTATTCACTGAAATCTGTACCTGTCCGGTTTGGTTGCTGTGACAAACAGTTATGGAAGTATAAGTGACAGATTCAATAATTCCTCTGTAGAACTGTATCAGCAGCTCCTATATAAATTTAAGTGTAACTGACATTGTTATTTCAATTATCCTGACATCTAAGAGCCAGAAGATCAACATGCTCTTTTTCCTCTCTTGCCGAGAAGTAAATAAAAACTAATAGGGAAAGAGGTCATTAAGTGCATCTGGAAAAGTATTTCTTGTAATTTTGATTGAAAAATTATGAGAGATATTGATGCCGAAAATCAGAGAAGTGCAGTGTGTGGCTTTATGACAGGAAACTGTGCAGACCAAACTTCTGTTCAACAGATCATTGTGAAAAGGCATGAATATGAGAAAATGTACTACAGGTTGTTGATTCAGACAAACTATGTGGTAAACTGAATAAGGTTCAATTATTGAGCACTTACATGATGGATGGAAGGTTGGTTGTCTGCATGATGCAAGCACATCATTTGTAAGAATAAATCAAATGCTTAACTAATGGTTCAGTACTAGGAGGGGATATGGCAAGGCAATAGACAAAGAATGGTCATGGTGGAAGTACAGGCAATTTATAAGAATCCAGAGAAAAATACAGAGCTGGATACTGAATGTTGTTGATATAAACTAGATTTACCTACTTTTTCCTCCCCTCCCCTCATCAGTCTTTAATTTCTCTGACCTATTTCTTACCATCTTTTTGTGCTTGCATAATATTGCTTACTCTGAAAGGGAATGACATGATAGATATGTACATATGTTTGAAAAACAACCTACTTGTTAAGATGGAAACGAGTCATACTTCTTATCTGCTAAGCAATTCTGAACTATGCCTTTGTTCTGACCGAGGCTTCCCAAGAGCATGAAGCAAACTCCTTGTTTCGACAAAAAGCCCTTTTATCAATTTACTGTAAATTCTGCTCATTCATATCCAGCAAAGTCTTTCAAGGGAGGATTTACAGTCACAGATCTTATCTGGCTTGGAAGAGCTGACAGGGCGATATCTGCAAAACTTGGCAAGGAGTCTTGGAGAGTCACGAACCAATTAAGCGAACTAATTGACTCCTGCAAACTCTACTCCCCTTTTGGTTCTCTTTTATTTCCTCTGGGAGGGCCACTCATTGTCCCCTGTGGCCTTACTCCCAAGTCAACCCCTGTTCTTTAGCTGTTCCCGTCATCTGGCAACTCTGCGCATGCGCAAACTGGGAACAGGCTCCAGCTGTTCGTCTGCCTCACTGATGTCTGACTCTGAAGGCAGCTGATAACTGGCATATGGCTCTGGCCCCCTCT